ACGAAACGTAATTCGAAAACTTTGACTCGTTGTTAGTACGTTGTTTGCGTAANTAATCAACACAGATATCCTGAAGCCAGGAGACACAGAAGGAAAAAGAAAAAAGGCTTGCATGCGAAACGTCGACAAGGATCAAACCTTCTTCTTCTACGGCCGATAACTTTACGGGACATTTCCCTTCGAATCGAGGAAAAAGAAAACGAGGGAATCCTTGGTCGAACGAACTTGGTCTCGAAAAGTGTATCTCCTCTCGTTTCTCCTCCCGAATTTGTCGATTCGTTGCAAATTCGTGCGCGTTCTCACTGAAGGAGTTGCCACGATTGGAACACATCGATCACGTAGACATCCCTGTTCTTGTGCTTCGTCTTGATGTGCTTTCGTATGTCGGTCTTCACCTTGCACTTGTACTCGCAATAAGGGCACTTGAATCGTGGCTGCTGACCGCACTGATATCGCAAATGGCTGGTCAAGTTCCTCTTCCACGCGAACACGCTTCGACAATTGGGATTCGGACAGGCGTACTTGCTCGGTTTCATTAACCAATTGCCGCATTGACGATGATCGTCCACACGCAACGTGGATCCTTTGCCCCCTGAAAAACAACCAATTGTTCGCGATCAAACACGTTCCGGATGGGGGAGGGGGGAGAGGAAGGAGGGGTCACCTGGTGATAATCAAGCGCGAGAGATAGGATCGAGCGAACAACGTGAACCGATCTCCGTTCCTTTGATCGGGGATCATCGTTTGATCGTTTCGAATTGCAGGCGTACCAGTTTCAGATGTTACATGTAAACGTTTTGGTAAGAATTTTATTCCAACGTTTTGTCAACATTGCTCGATCAGTTTCATCCGAGGATCGGATAACAATGTTACACGAGATATGTATGTATCACCGTGTTTTCACTATATACTTGCTCGTCGAGAAAAAGAAGAAGAAGAAATCGTTCTTTGATCGATTGGATAATAATTTGGAAAATTATTGTACTCGATCGAGGAACGATTCGAAAACAAGATTGGATCAGGAGTAAAAGTTATCGAGACATCGTCGAGACACTCGATCGAATCTAATTGGCCAAGCATTGGGATACGATTCGAGATCGATTAAAAGTAATATAGCGATAATGCTTGCTTGAAAAAAACCTTGTTAAGATCGTGAGAGTCTTAAATTCTTAATCAAAATATCGTCTGTAATTCAACCTGTATTCAAAGAAACACAATTAATCGTACAATCGTGAAACAAGTAACAATTACAATCGATGTAATACAATCACCAGAACGTAATCACTGCAAATTGTCTTTTACCACTTCGTTTCGAACAATGTTGGGAGTAGTAGGAGGGGGGGAAAAGACAAGTCGTACATTTTATTCGAACGAAAATACAAATTTAAATTAAATTGAAAACACGGTCGTTTTAACTTGTCGTAGACGCGAACAGGTCGACCACGTAAATAGCCAAACCTTGGTGTTTTCTTATTATGTGTTTGTTTACGTCCCCTTTAACCTTGCAACAATACGCGCAATACGGACACTTGAACCGTGGCTGAAGGCCGCACTCGTATCTCAGATGTCTGTTCAAGTTCCCTTTCCAATTAAATGATTTGGCGCAATTCGGTGTTGGACACGCGTACACGGCCGTCCTCACTTTCATTCGTCTCCGTTTCGTCGATTTATTGGCCGTGTACTCGGCCGATAACCCACCATCCGCGAACGTCCACCAATTCTCCGTCCCGTTACCTGTAACAAACGAGCAGACGAAATTTTCTCATGGCGATAATATCGCTTCCATAAATTTTCTCTTTAAATTTTCGCTTATAATGTCGACATACGAGGAAACGCGTGTAATTATTATCTTCGATGTAATTCGTAATAGCAACGTTTAGTTTTTATTGACATAAGAATCGATCGACACAAAATGTAAAAATATTGGCAAAATTGTTTGAGGAGTGTAGGGATCGCGAAGGTTCGAACGCGTGAATTGGGATACGAGATGATTTTTGAAAGCGTTCCTCTTCTACGAGATTTGTTTGTGAAACCAGATTTCAAAATTCTTTCGACAATAACTTTACTATGCAATTGTAACTGGTCCAATCGTGACGTAATTTTTATCGCTATGTAACTAGGTAAGTTTACCTAACCTATAAATTCTTACTTTTATAGAATAGAATGAGTTATCCACGCGAAAATTTTATTCATTGAAAATTTTTAATCTTGGTTATCCTCGCGAAATCCATCATTTTCTTCATTCGCAGAAAATTTTCGCCACGACAAAATACTCGACGAATAATTATCGGCCTCGAAACAATTCTCATGGAAGATAATTTTAATAAAATCGGACGATCCGTATCCCAATCTGTGCGCGGATGAATCGAGTAAAAATGTGCTAACTAAGTGTCCAAAACGTAAATGCTGCAATTCTTATGGACTCTCTTGATGTGTCTGCATATGTTCGCCTTCCATTTGCCACGGTAGTCGCAGTGTGGACACTTGAATCGCGGCTCTTGGCCGCACTCGTTCCGCAAATGCCTCTTCAACGTGCATTTCCAGACGAACACGCTCGGGCAATTCGGGCACGGAAATTTCTTGTACGAGTTGTCGAATCGTAATCGTTGCTTCTTGTAGGAATGGTTCGCGTAATACAGAAAATCTGAAAGCAGAATGAAACAATCGGGGTGATATATTGTGAACGATGTGCGAACGAGGGACAATTTATTCCTTTTTTCAGGAGCTGAAAATTGACGTCGATCGACGTCCTCTCGATGATTCTTCGACGATTCGATGGAAGACAATGCAACACAATGGGATCGAGTGTTTTTTTTTTTTCACGATATGTTTCGATGTATGTTCATAAGACGTACGTACAAAGTATGGCACTAATTAATCGCTGAGATATTTGTAATAATTTAACAAAAAAAATTTTTAGAACGTGAAATTATTGGTGTTAAGTGAAGAATTAATTGGTGTAAAAACAAAAAAATTGTGATCGTTTTATTTTATCGTATATATTTTTCTTTTATAATATTTTTAAAATATTAGGGAAGAATTAATTCAAAATTATAATATCGTATATCGTTTCAGTTATTAAATCCTGAAATAATTTTATTTCTTTATGTTATATTACAATTAATTATCAAGATTTATTTTTGTTTTTGACGATCAATTAATAGATAATTCATAAATCAATAAAATTATTTTATATTTGAAATTATACATGACATATATGATGTTATAAATTATTCAATTTTAAAAATAGAAAAAAAATATGCAATGGAAATTAAAAAAATACAAAATGACTAGGTTTTAATAAAAGTTATTAGAATCATTTAAAATATAGCGACTGATTCGTGCCACACCTATATCGTGAATCGAAATTCCGAGTATACACCCCCGTTCAAAAGTCTTAAGATAGATATATTTACTTTGAAATAAAAATAAATCGTATAATCGTTAAAAACACGAAGGGTTATTTAATCACTTTTCCCAAAAAAGATGCATGCAATTTAAATTTAAATGATATTCACCAAACGTTAAAATTATCCCTAAGATTTTTAAACAGGAGTACGTAAACCATAAACTCAGAAGAAATCCTTCAAGGCAAATACAAATCTGATTAGTTACCTTTTATAAACCCAACATAAAATGACATAAAAAAGAGACATAAAAATAATCACACATTCACAAAATGTCCCAGCGGATTTCTTCTCAGCGAAGAAGAAATGCAGAGCTAAAATAAAATCCATAGAAAAAAAAAATACAAATTCGAAAGAGAAATAACTATTCTCCTTGTTTCTATCTTATCCCTCTTTCCATAAATTTCTTTCCAACTCTGCACATCAAACATCTTCGATTTACTATCCCATCGTACCCATTTTTTGATTTATGAGAGGTCGAATCTTCGATCGGTGTCCTGCAAATATTTCGTAAATTTTTCAAGGATTACCAGATGAGAAATCAGCGCCACCAAAGTTACCATCATGGCGACCATGACGTGTTATTTTAGACGTTATACGCATCGTGAGAAAATTTTTGTTACTTTTTCCATTCGACGCAACGATGACGATCTCCACAACGAAAACAAATTTCGTTAATCCTTTCGTCCAAATGTATCCCACAAATATATATTCCGACACAGCTTGCATGCTTCCTATCGATGAGAATATCGGTAACGATAAACATAACCTCGAAATACAACGCGACAGAGATGGACAAGCATTTTTATTTTTCGTGACATTTTTCACTTCAGTGTACAGTGAAGGACAAGTGTGTGTTTATTTATATCCATCCTGAATTAATTTCTACCAATATCGATGCAACGTACGACGCTACCCTCGTGTCTTCTTCGTACGTGCCTATAAACGTCCGAGGTCCATCTAGAACGAAAGTCGCAAGACGGACATTTGAAACGTGGATTTTGCAGGCACTCGTAACGAAGGTGTCTGGTTAGAGAGCCACGGTGGGTAAACGAGCTGCCGCAAGCGTTAGAGCAGAAGAACCTTTTATTAGCAGCGGAGGGTCGTTGGGCGGTCGATTTGCGCTGTCTCCAAGCTGCGCAAACCAAACGCGAGACGACGCCTGGAAAAGAAGATTTTCACCACTGAACGTGTTTAAAAAAAAAAAAGACAACTCTGATACATATCGTTGATAGCTAAATTTATCTTCGTTTTGTATGTCGTGACCATCGGGAGACGAGGGGAGCACGGGGAGGGAGGTGCAGAACAGTGCATGGCATGTAGCGTGGCGAGAGCAAGATAAGAGCAACCAGCAGAGCGAAGCGAAGTAGAGCGAAGCGGAATTAGAGTTGGGGAGAGACGGAGATATTCTGGTGTCGTTTAAAAGGGATAAGTCGAGTCCTCGCTGAACGAACGAGGAAATCGTCCATGTTCCACGTTTCTTGATTTCTTGATGTGAATGTTTGTTATAATTAAGAATGACGCCATACGTTGGAGAGACTGAATCAGTTGTATTTCGGTGATTTGATATCGATGACAATCGATATGTAACAAAATTAATATTATATTTTATTGTTGAATCTCAATCATTCTTTGACGGACAAAATTAGAAATTGATTTATTTGTTTTCGAATAAATAAAAATAATCAACATTTCTTATTTTAAAAAGATATAACTTCAATGCGTATATAATATGTAATACAAACTTGAAAACAGAATGCAAGAATTCCTTTATAATTTCTCTTTCTTTTATTAATTTATTAAACAGTTTATTAAACAATTTTATTAAACAAACAAACAATTGATATTTCCTCGTTGTTGTTTAGCGAGAACTTAACTTAAGGACGTGAAATAAACAACGACGATCGACCCAGCTGCTTCTGAACGAATGGCTCTTTTTATTCATAGCCTGGAATATGTGTATAATTCGTCGAATATCGATTAAAATGTCACATAGAAACTTACAAAAAAAAGGGGGGGAGGGGGAAACGCGTCGATCTAACTCTAATTTCGTAATGAGAAGCAGCAATGCGAGACTACTTCGTTCCTGCGAGAGTGGAATCGTTTAAATGTGATGCTCTGTGGCCTTGAGAACGTCGATCGCGTACACCTGACAATTCTTGTGCCTTCTTCTCACGTGCTCGTAGACGTTGGCCGACTTCTTGCACCGATATTCGCAATGTGGACACTTGAACCTCGGCTCTTGGCCGCACTCGTAGGTCAGATGTCGGTTCAGCGAGTATTTCTGGCTGTAGGCACAGGCACAGTTCGGACACGGGAACTTCTTCTTATAGTTATTGTCTATATCGGTTTGACTCGATGTTCGGGACCATAGTTTGCCATAGTTTTGGCCTTGGCCGTCTCCGATACCAACGTTGACCCCGTAAACGGTGAACGGGCCAGTAATATCTGGAACGAAACGTGTCTGGCTGATTGCGATGCTTTTACATTTTTACTTTTTTTTTTGTTCTACAAGAGTTCTGCTCTTATCGAGAGTCCAACTTCTTACGGGTTACGCAAAGTTAGAAAATTATCGAGTGTGGTGTCATCGATGAAAAAAAAGCTGGAAACGCGTAATTATAATCGTAATATTCGCAATTTGGCAAATGTTATCGCAAAAATTTTAAGAAATGTACTTACAAATATTGACGGTTGTATAATAAAATATGTCGCATTACGAAATAAAAATTCAAATGCTATACAAAACTTTGTTTGCCTAATATGTTATACGTACAATTTTAATACATTAGATTTATCGTATGGAACGTATTATTCGATTTTAACGCAAATAAAAAAAAATAAAATAAAAAAAAAATAAAATAATTGTTTGTGTGTCAAACGATCCTTTTGTCGTCCTTTGTTTTTTGTTGCATTATTATAATGTAATTATCGCATTACGTCGTTCTTGGATTGATTGTCGATAATATCCACGACGTACACTCTTTGGTTATGATGCATTCTACGTATATGAGATCTAACGTTCGACGAGTGTCTCGTGCAATATGAACAATAAGGGCAACAGAATCTTGGCATCTGGCCACACTGAAATTTCAGATGCTTATACAAATTATTCTTTCGCGTGAAAACGTTGCCACATTTGTGGCAAGAATATTTTTTGCTTCGCTCGTGATTCTGCATGTATTGGTGGCCATCAAGATAACACGGATGACGCGATACTGGATAACGAACACCTGCGAACAGAAAAAGTTTTACCAAATAACTACGTCGAATTTTCATTTGATTTGGGAGACAATGATATATGAGAGACAAGTTTTGTGATTTCTTATTCAAATTCGATTCGATTGTCAATGATGTAAATACTGTTGACATGAAAAAAGCCGTTATGTACATAGATTAATTTAATTTTAATTAGATAAAATTGACAAAAGGAAAGAGAAAGAGAGAGAAAGAGATGAGGATATTAAATTTTTCTAAACATAAATACAAATATTTTAAATAATGGGAAATAAATTCGTAGATTCGTTAAATAAAAATAAATTATGATAAAAAAGCAATTGGAAGTGTCATGGATGATGAATAAAATAATCTTTTTTAAGTAAATATTATAATTAAGAATTTTAAGAGGATATTCCAGAAAATGTTTATTTCAAGATTAATTTCGCAATTTTTTTCAAAAATTATCATGAGATTTTATATTACGTATATTTTAGAAACATCTTTATCATCATTTTTGATTAAAAATAATTAAACTCGAACTATAAAATATCTTTTCAACATTTTGAACATTTTGATTATTTAAAATGAAAAAGCAATTTCCACTTTTAAACATTGCTTAAAGGGATAATCGATTTTTCAAACATCCATTAGTTGCATAAATATGGATCTGTATATTTAATTTCAAAAATCAATGAATCAAAAAATGTGAAAAGATTGATTTTATTATTTAAACTAAAATATCCTCTTGAAAAAAAGAAAGGTTCATCTAAAAGTAACACGATCGACACGCACTATGGAAAATCACAACTTGAAATCTTGTTTATATCTATGACGTAGACCTCGTTGCCAGGATGAATTCTGCGCACGTGGGCACGAACATTAGAAGGATGTTTCGTTCTGTACGCGCAATAAGGACAATTAAATCGTGGCGATTGTCCACACTCGAATTTCAAATGATATTGAAGATTGTGTCTTCTGCTGAACACGCTGTGACAATTCCCGCAAGGAAACTTTTGCATGTGTTGTTCGTCTGTTCGCGAGAACGTGCTTCCTCTGATCGATGACCAACGAACTTCCTTTTCCTTCTGCTGCGGTGTTAAGTAGTTTGTCTCTGAAAAAAAATCACAAATATCTCGTTCACATTTTTGTATTGCTCGGCCCCAAAATTTTCAAGAAATTCTCGAAACTTTGTGCCATGTTCCGTTTTCAAACTTTCAGGATTTCTAGACTCGAGTTAAAAGTATCAAGAACGATCGAACTTCGGTTCAACTCGGCAATAATCGGAAATGATTCGGAGCTACAGAACCGACCACGTCCGATTATTGCCGAATCGAGTCGAAGCCGGACTAACTGTTTATATATTAATTCGAGTTTTAGAATCTGGAAAATTTTCGAAACTTTGAGAATTCTTAAAGAATTTCTAAATTCCGAGCAACATAAAAATATTATTATCACCCCAAATCTCGAGGTCCAATATATATCTCACAATATATAAATATACAATAATATCACGATATAATAAGACACGTACGAAGGAAACGCATGCACGCAAGGATTTTTCAATGAACGAGCGAGTGTTCGTCAAGTAAGGATGATTTTTATTAAAATTCGGTGATCGATGCGCAATTTATCACGCTATTTCATCTACATATAGCATTTTAGTCGTATGCTTCACTCAGTGTTGAATACTCATTAGATCGACAACGTAGACTTCTCTATCAGGATGCTTCCTACGCACATGGGCCCTAACGTTCGACGTGTGTTTAGTCTTGTAAGCGCAATAGGGACAGTTGAATCGTGGCAATTGTCCACAAGCGTACTTCAAATGATGCTGCAGATTGTACCGCCAGGTGAATGTACGTCCACATTTTGGACATAGGTGTCTCATCTCCTTGCGGAGAACTCGAGGATGAGTCGTTTTACGATTCGCCATCGCGCGACACCATCCGTAATTTTGGATGTGGTTTGATAATTGCTCTGAAAAATACAAATATTCTCATGGTTAATCGTTTTAGATGAATATCACGACACAATTTCAATTTCAACACATCTAACAACTAAGTCACTCGCCACGCTGCTCGATCGAAGAATTCGTTTCACAACGCGCAGAATGGGCCAAAAATCACGAAACCATTTTCGTTTCGGGAAATAATATCACGGGAGTATCCTCCTTTCTATAAACATTGCATAACATATTATTTATCAACGTTTTTGCAAAAAAAGTGTAAAAATGTTATATTTTCGAAATAAAATTCAATAAATTCTCTATTAAAGGAAGAGAGAGAGGACAAAAGATTCTTAAACTGTCACCAAGAAACTTCAGAATGTAAATAATCTGAAAAAAAAATTATTTTTAAGTAACACATAAAAAAATGATTAAATATCAAAAATTACAAATGATTCGAATGAACAATGACTATATTGAAGCGAAAGATGAGTTATCGTATAAGGTACGTATTTTTAAAAATTTGAAAAAAATAAAATATGAACAAAATCGAATGATTGTCACTTTTTGTTTCGTAATATATATATATATATATATATATAT